AACAAAAACAGGCAAAGTTAAAAAGATGTTTGGTGGCTAGTACTATGGCTGGGACCCTATATGTACTGTTGATGAAGTTAGGTGCTGTTCTGAGCATTATTTGTGGCTATAGAGTGGCTTTTTGGTTGAGGTTTATGTGTGGAATCATAGACCGCTGTGTCGTTGCTGAAGTTGGTATAACTAGAGAAGCAAACATTCGACAACATTCATCTCTCTAGGGGGTCTAACTCTGTGTTATGTGTTCACCATAACTTTAATTCAGGCCGGAATATATCCCTTTAAATGTAACAGTAGACTAACACTGACTCTGTTTGACTGCATTAATTTGAAAGTCTAACTGCAGGTACCTGAGTTTGGAGTCTAGTATTAGTATTGTCAGTGTTTGATCATTTGGAGTCAGAATGGGTTGGCTGTACACAGCATCATTATGAGATTATTTCAAGTTTTGCTCCCGGTCCTCAAACCAAAAAACATCTGCAATCAGTTTGTAATTGGTTGTGTGTATTTGTGTGCCTGTGTCCCTGTGTGTGAATCGCTGATATCAAGACATTTTCATAATGAATAATGCAATCCTTGCTTTAAAGAGAGAGATGAAAGAAAACCGTGAGCTGAGAGCCGGGGTTCAGACAGACGGCTGCTCAGAGAGAAAGAGAACAAAGAGGGCTTAATAAATAGCTAAGAGACGGCCAGGGGCTTGGGCTCACTGTTGTACACAGTGAATGAATATGTTAACAGTCCCATTACACTGGATTTGTGAGCAGATGATACAGAACAAGCTGTTTGGTTTCAGTGCTGCCCAAGTGAATTCCAGACGGACTGAGAGATCAGCAAAACAGACAGATGGGCAGATAGAGGAAGAATGCTGCACGGCCTGTCAAGCGGCCGGCAAAAACACAAAACACAGAAATCTATTTTTAATTGACTACCACTCACTCAAGTCCAGTGTTCACCAGGCTGTGTGGTTGTTGAATAAACTCCTACAGCACTGGAGCAACATTTTCAAAAGTTTTAATTTGACCACAGCTATGTCAGTCAGTCAGTCTCTTCAGGCAGAGAAAAGCAGACAGACATGTAGCTGGGAAGCCAGTCGGAAAGTCTGAATGACAGTGTACACAGGGAAGCAGGTACGTCCTGGTCCAGTGGTCAAGCAGGGAGTCAGCGAGGTGAGTCTGACTGAGGCTGCAGAGTTTCTCTCACAGTCGAACTTCTGTGATTACAGTTGCATGTGAATCGAGTTTTTAAGTGGGCTTTTCTCTCATCACTGTCAATCATCACATGATGTGCAGGTAATTACAGCACAGAAACACCAAGACAAAATAAATCACTCTTCATTCTGCTGAACTACAAAACTATTCATTGATCAGAACATCAAAAAGTTCATTATGAAAGTTTGGAAATTGGGTTTTATTGAGAGATTACTAACATGGGAGTAACTATGTTGACAAATTCACCATGTTGCAAGATCAGAGGTGTCTTAAAACCATTGAGAACGAAACAGTGTAGTCTTCTTTTAAGCCTCAGTGCATCAGAGCAGAGAAAAGTGGGAACTGCAGAGACCATTGTCTCATGCATACCCATCATTCTTTGTGCTTTGCTTGCTGCCTCAGATGTAGTGAAGGTGGTGCACCAGTGGTAAGGACCAGACATGTTTTGAAACTGTGGATATCCTAGCGGCTGTTAAAGGGATATTCCGGTGTAAAATTAATTTAGGGTCAAACGCATCGTAACACCGAGTTAGACACCCCCTAAGGGGATGAATGTTGTCGACCGCTTGCTTCTCCAGGCCTGTAACATTTGCAAAATGTTAAAAATCGCAATAATATCGTATCATGGCCCAAGTATCGTGATAATACTGTATTGTAGGGCCACTAGTGATTCCCACCCCAAATGAACATGGGCACTTCAAAGCAAAGTCTTCTATAAATAATAATACTGGTTTTTGCTTTTGTGTGTGCTGTTTTGTTCTCTGTACAGTAAGGTGTTTGGAGATGATGAAGTTTGTTTTGTATCTTTTTAAGTGCTTTGGGATGTCAGATGAAATCGGATAATGTGCATTGTCCCAATTCAATAAGCTAAAATTCAAGAAACTCCTCTTTTTTTGAGATAAAGAAACTAGATGTAAAGGTTTTATGAACACTACATGCAAACACAAGCTGGTCATGTGCTGCTACCATGTATGTACTTAAAAAGAACATGTCTATGCTCATTTAAACAGTATTTTCAGAGCAGCTCATTTATTAAACGCTGCTCTCTTTAGGAGGCTTAGTTTGTGCCCAGCAGTAACAGGCTGTGTGGTTTCTTCTGGGCTCTACCTCGTCCCAGGGATCTGACATTAATTAGGCAAGCTGACATTAATTACTACCATCCACTGACAGGGACAGGGAGTTCTCTGGACGTCTAGCAGGCTGTATTAGACTCAGACCTTTCAAGGTCAGGTGGCTGCTGTAGCTGTGGGCGGACAGGGAACACTGACTAACACTGGGGACTCAGCTAGTTTGCCCGGGGGTTGAGTAAGTTATAGTCAGGGATAAAGGCCAAAGATTGATAAGGCACAGGGGAATTATGACTTAGTTGTTTTCATGACACTGTAGGGAACTAAGAGAGAGGCCTAAAAGGACATAATGATTCAAGGATGAGTCCATTTTCAGCTAAACCCTTATTGCCATATCGATCTCTGATAAATCTACTTTCCTGTCTTGTTTTTTACTACTTCAAGTATTGTCAGTGGTATTAAAATAGTGATTATGGAGTTTTTAGCCAAAATCATGTTACCTGTGTCATTTTCTTCTGCAGAGCTCCAGTAGCTCATTAGCAATTAGCCTCTGAGTTGTGGGCAGAGACAGCGCTGCTCTGTCTGCACCCTCCTTGTCACGCTAGCTTGCATATACATACTGTATGTGTGTGTGAGATATAGTATGTGAATCCTTTGGGATTACTTGGATTTCTGCATAAATTGGGCATAAAATATATTCTGATCTTCATCTAAGTCACAACAATAGACAAACACATTCTGCTTAGACTAATACTGCACAAAAATGTTATGTTTTCATTTTTTCATTAAACATAATATGTAAACATTCACAGAAGATGGATGGAAAAAGTATGTGACCCCCTAGGCTAATGACTTCTCCAAGAGCTAATTGGAGCCTGGAGTCAGCCAACCTGGAGTCCAATTTATGTGATGAGATTGCAGGTGTTGATAAGCTGCCCTGCCCGATAAAAACTCACAAGTTTTGAGTTAATTGATCTCAAGACTGCCTGATGTGAACCATGCCTTGTACAAAAGAGTTCTCTGAAGACCTATGATGAAGAATTGTCAAGGTGTCATTCAATTGCTTTAGTTTAGTTCAATTGCCTCAGTTTGGTTCAATATGGGGAAGACTGCAGACTTGACATTTGGCCAGAAGACCATCATTGATACCCTCCATTGGATGGGTAAGCCACAAAAGTTCATGGCTAAGGATGCCAGCTGTTCACAGAGTGCTTTGTCCAAGCATATCAATGGAAAGTCTAGTGGAAAGGCAAAATGTGTCAGGAGAGGATGCACCAGCAAAAGAGATGGCCGTTGGCTTCAGCTGATTATCAAACAGAGCAGATTCAAGAATCTGGAAGATTCAGAAAGAGTGGAATGAGGTGGGAGTTGCAGCTTCAAAAACCACCACATTCAGACTCATCCGGGAGATGGGCTACAACTGTCGGGTTCCTCAAGTCAACCCACTTCTGAGCCTGAGCCAATGTAGGAAAGGTCTCAACTGGGCCAAGGAGGGGAAGAACTGGACAGTTGGCCAATGGTCCAAGGTCCTCCTTTCCGATGAAAGTAAAGTGTGCCTTTCATTGTGGAATCAAGGTCCAAGGGTTTGCAGGAAGACAGTTGAGGAACAGAACCCAAGCTTCTTGAGGTCCAGTGTGAAATATCCACAGTCAGTCATGATTTGGGGTGCAGTGTCTGGTGCAGGTGTTGGTAAACTCTGCTGTTTTAAATCCAAGGTTACCGCAAGAATGTTTTAGAGGACTTCATGATTCCTTCTGCTGAAAATCTGTATGGAGATGCAAATTTCATCTTCCAGCAGGACCGGGCCCTGCCCATACCGCCAGAAGCACCAAAACCTGATTTGATGCCCATGCCATCACAGTGCTTGACTGACCAGCCAACTCGCTGGACCTAAACCCCATTGAGAATCTATGGGGTATTATCAAGAGGAAAATAAAGGACACTAGACCAAAAAGCAAAGAAGAGCTGACAGCGTGCATCAAGGAAATCTGGGCTTCCATAACTCCCAGGCAATGCCACAGACTGATTGTCTCAATGCCACGGCGCATCAAGGCAGTGATTAAGGCAAAAGGATTCCCAACCAAATATTGAAGATTGACATATCGTTTTGAAAGTACCATATTTTGAATGATTTGATGTGATCCTAATTTCTTTCTTTTTTCCTGCAAAGACTGAGAAGTAAATGGTGATTTTGTCATAGTATTCTAACTTTTTGACATCCTGTGTTTGTGGGTTTTATAGGCTGGAAGACCAGGTTATGTAAAAAATAAACAGATAAATACTTGAAATTGTCAAAATTGTGGGCCCTGAATCTTAATCTATGAAGGTTTAACTTTTTGAATGGAATTATCGAAATCATTAAACTTTTCCATGATATTCTAACTTTTTGGAAATTTGTACTTGAAAGTTTTTCATGGGTTAGGAGAAAGAACAGAGGGATGAATTAAAGAAGTGAATGTATAACAAAGCATGCAAATAGTATGCACGGGATGTTAAACTGGGAAGTAAAAGGAAGTAATCAGAGTTGATAATAGAGTTCAAGTGCAATGTTCAAGAGAAAAAAATGCATTTAGTTGTTTTTTGTTATTTAGTAAATTCTCTTCATAAAGCAAAAAGTAAACAATTGCATAGAAAGTCTTCTGTTGATTGAACATATATATATATTTTTACAAATGTCTAATATGTTAATATTGACCAACAATCGTAAACAGATGACAAATGAGATGCTGTGGTGATGAACAGAGTGCCTTGCTCAAAGTCAACAAGATTTTGTGAGTGTGAAACCTTTTATGACAAAAACAATTTTCTCAGACATTGATAAGAAAAAAACAATAGACAATTTTATTCTCTTTTCAAACCCTTGGTTAGAGTTTACAAACAGGAAACTTGATTTGCTAACCAACACTAGCACCTAGTGGTTATCTAAGGCATCTCTAGAGGAGGGTTTTGGTGACAGTCCTCCCTTTGGGTTATTGTTTATATTCGTCTATCACAATTAACTGTCATAAAATAGGAGAGAAAAATTTACTCAGTGAACCAAAAACCAACCAATGAACTGATAAGTGTAACATTTGGTACAATCTTTTAGATTTTCTGTACATTCCCAGTGTCAGCAGACTCCCAGCTCATTCACACATTCATACACCTGCAAAAATGTAGTTGATGATTTGGTCAGCGAACATGATTTTAAAAAGGCTAAAAGGTCCTATGAAATCATCTCTGTGGTGACATGTGACCACCAATAGTTTGGGTTCATGTAACAGTAGAGTTAATTGATTCTGTGATTGACTTAATAGGAAGTTTAGGAAAAGCAGACACATGCAGGGGAGGTTAGGACCTGGGGTGTACACAAAGCTGTCATGCTAATTTCAAGCATGAGTGGTGCATAAGTTTGCTGTGCGTAAGTTTATCCCCCCCCTGCACATGTAAAAGCAAGCATGATGCTAAGGGGAAAAGAGTTAAAAAAAAAAAAAAGACATACTGAGCAGGGATAAAAACTCTTAATCAAGTATGTCTGGAATATTGTCAATGCAGTATTCTTCAAGGCTGAATTGTTCAACAGTGAAAGTAATGTCTTTCCACTGTTTCTTGGGTACCGGGCCATCAGGGGTCTCTATGGCGAAGTTTTTAATGGCTATTTCGGGCAGCAGGGCAATCTTCTTGTACTTCATCTCATGTCCCCACGGCTGTGAATTGACAAAAAAAAACAAAAAAAAAAAACAATAGGAGTATCAGCAACAACAACTCTTTTGTCTGAGTTTAAATAGATACTTGGCAGGTGGCACATCATACCCTGTCGCATTTATTGCAAATGATCATGCACCCAGGCTCCCAGTCCTCAGAAGTCCTCTTCACATGTACCTTCTTACCAACTTTGTAGTGCTTCCTGAGGCAAAGATACTCCATGGTTATCTATCATGTGAAGACCTTTACTTTCTGATGAACTTTCATGCTATAAAAGAGTGAAACTCACTTGAAGTCAGGATTAACGTTGACATAGTGCATGTTGTCGACAAGTTTGATGTCACTGCCTGAAGCCACAGGCTTGAAACACGTACGACACAAAAGCTGAACACTGGCAGCAGAGTGGCAGCTCCTCTTTTCCATTTGTTGGCTCTCTCGAGCTTTTCTCGAATCCACAGCCTGATTTTGTAGCACAGTTATCTGAGGACAAAGGAGAATAAAAGGTGTGAGTTGAAACTCTTCGCAGTGGGAGTAAAGGTTAAGAATAAAAGAGCATCACTTTTACCTTGCTGCGAAACTCTTGAATGCTCATCTCTTGTACTCTTGCAATGGCTTTTCCAGTCAGCTCCTCTAGATGTTCATTGGTTTTCTCCCTCCGCTCTTCAGGTCCTCCTTCCTCTGTGACCACTGAATACTGGCTGTCTCTCGCTCTGGCTCGTCCAGTGGCCTGTATCTGGGCAATCTCATTGGTAAGCAGCCCATAACGAACCACCAGGTTGCACTCCGGGATGTCGAGGCCTTCCTCTGCCACAGTGGTGGAGATGAGGAGGTTGAGTTTACCCTGTCGGAAACTGCGGATTGTGTTTTCCTGCTCACTCTGCAAGTATGTACACAAAAGCGTGAACGATCTAAATCAAACAGCACAGATATGTCAGTGGAAAAGTATGGTGACTAATCGTTTTGTGTTAGGATTGTGTAACAACAAACCGATGTCATGTGATTGATGCTATTGCCGGCCCCGGTGAGGTTAGCTGCCTTGATGCCAGCTTCCTGTAAGGCTGTATTGGTGTGGACCCAGTCATGGAGGCAGCGCGTGCTCTGTCTGGTTTTGGTGAAGATGATCCCTTTTGATTGCAAGCTTGGACCAAAGTGTTCAAGCAAGACCTCCTCCAGTTTGGACATCCTAGGGTTCTCATAGACGGGGTTACCTGCTATTGTCCTCAGCTCCTCTTGTCTCTCTGATATTGTTTTTTTAGAGGTAAAATAAGAACCTAACGTAAGTAATACTCATGTTGCCAAAATAAAAGGGATATTCTGGCGTAAATTTAAGTTATGGTCAAACACACCGAAACACCGAGTTGGATACCCCCCGAGAGATGAATGTTGCTAACCGCTTGCTTCTCGAGTTACACAAACTTTAGCAACAACCGCTTGATAGCAATATACAGTGGTCTACGTCTCCATGCGCAAACCTCAACCAAAAAGTCACTCTATAGCCACAAAAATAGAGCATCTAGGTCTGATTGCATTTCCATGAAGTAATAATCATAAATGTCTTTCCTTGAGCTGTGTAACTCGACTGCACTCGGTGATCGACTCATCAGGGCTCCCTCCACAAACAAGCGGCTGCTGGAAGAGAGTGGGTGAGTTGTGTTTGGTCTCTTTGCTAAAGAAACCAGGCTAAGTTAAAAAGATGTTTGATGGCTAGTACTATGGCCGGGACCCTATATGTACTGTTGATGAAGTTAGGTGCTGTTCTGAGCATTATTTGTGGCTATAGAGTGGCTTTTTGGTTGAGGTTTGCATGTGGAGGCATAGACCATTGTGTATTGCTATCATGCAGTTGTTGCTGAAGTTGGTATAATTAGAGAAACAAGTAGTCGACAACATTCATCTCTTAAGGGGTTATCTAATTGGTGTTACAGTTTTTTTGACCATAACTTAAATTTACACTCGAATATCCCTTTAAAAATAAAAATAACTTAATTTTTTTGAATTTCTACCTTTGTAAAGCCCCACCAGGAAGATGTCTACTTCATCAATGATTGTCTTAAACTTTGAGATATAGAAATTCTGCAGGTAGCGATAAGCATCCATCATTCGCAGGGTGTCATTGATGAACAGCGCGTTGTTGTACTCCCTGAGGTGGTGCGAGCATTGAGTCAACTGTCTGCTCTTGTCTTTGACACCTATTCCAAAGACATACAAAGTCCATGAGTGCACCATCCCCTGATCTTCTTGTAACCCTTAAAGGAGACACTCAGTTTAGTTCATATTGCTACCTTGCTGCTCCAGTATCACCACGTCCATCTCGTACTCCTGTGTGCCACATTCTCTCAGGGTGTAGTCTGGAGGGATGTTCATGAACTCGTGGATTTGGTGCATCATCTTCTTCAGAAGATCCCCAAATGGATCCTACAAGATAAAATTCTTCATCTAATTTGGAGTCATAGTAGAGACGTTTCAGTTCCTGTCTGCTGCAGTTCAAACAGTGGGTGTATGATTTAAAGAAAAATGGTCTTACCTCTGGTCTTTTCTCCACAATAGCATAATTTTTCACAGGTCTGGGCACTTTCTCTTCCAGCTCAAGCACACAGTCTTTACTTGAAACTACGGCTGAGTCAAGGTTTGCACAAATCTGAGGGAGAAAAGAATGATGGTGAGGAAAAAGAATCCGAATTGAAGGATCTGTGAAAATGAACCCTTACCTGCAGTACATGGTCCACAGCTTTGAACAGGATTGTTTCACCCCCTGTCCCCAGAGATGCAGTGAGGCCAAGGATCTGCGGCAGAGGTTTTTCTCCATTCAGCTTCTTCTCTACATAGTATGCCATTATCTTGTTGTAAACATGCTCCTTGTTGGTGTGGTGGCACTCATCAATTATCAAGAGGGTGACCGCTGCATAGATTCAAAAGCGCGTCCAACACACGTTTGTTAAATGAACGAACTGATCATCACCGATGGTAAAGACTAAAGTTTTAGCCCCCCTTCACTGACCTGAGAGGTCAACATGTTTGGTTTCTTCTGTGCTCATCATAGAATTGTACAAAATCTGGGCTGTGCAAATGACCACATCAGATTTCTGCACCACCATCCCAAAGAAGTCCTTCTCCCCACTGTCTCCGCTGACTCGTGCCAAGGTGTAGTCGCCACCCAGAAGAGGCTTGAACTCTTTAGTGTAATGTTGGTCCACTAGGGGAACCTTCAGAAGGAGGAGTAGAAAAAGCACATTGTCTTAAAGGGGACCTGCCATAAAAATGTAATTTTGGGTTTTTTTTGTGTCATATAAGGTCCATATTATGTTCGTCTTATGTTGTACATGTGAAAACAAACCGTTACGTCGTTTGCATTCTGTAAAGGTTTAAAATCAAGGAACGAGTAAACCAGGCCAATTAAAAAAGCCCGTCGGTGTTACGTTGCGCCGACCTTGCTCATTATTATTCACGAGCGCGTCCTCGGTGAGCCGTGCCCACTCTCTCGTTCTCGTACTCAGTCACAGCCAGAGCGAGACCCAGCTACCACTGTATCCGCTATGGGTCTCTTCCAAACGACCGGTGTTTCCTTCGGTTCACTGCCGGGAAAATGAACTTAAAGCCGGGCAGAATGAATGAGAAAACACCGCTGGAGATCTCCGGCTTCTTCCTCAACTTCCACCTCCTCTTCGGACTCGGGGTCTGAAATATGTGGTTTAATACCTGCCGTTTTTAGCCTTTAGCAAAAGGTGACCAGACGTCCCCGATTTCCGGGGACTGGATGCATCATCCCGTATTGGATGATCTGTCCCCGGCAAAAGCTGTCCCCAAAAATGTCCCCGATTTAAGCGTTTCATTAACGAGAGCAAAAATGTTGCGTGTGGGCTCGAACAACGGTTATTACAGTAGCCGAATTTAGTTAGCAGTCCTGAACAACAGTTCTTACGGGGGTTAATACAAGGGGCATGCGCTGCTACTAAATAGTACCGAGACTTTGTCTGTGATCACAGCCCCTGCAGCCCCTGCACCACCGCCGCCGCACCGAATATCCCCGGATATCACTACAGACATCTGGGCACCTTACTTTAGCACACATTAGCATATGCTATTAGCATTAGCATAATAACAGTGGATAAACCGAAATCCGAACCTCCACTGCTGAGCCAATCAGAGCACAGCAGGCTTCACAGCAGCGATCCAATCAGAGCAAAGCTCATTACCATAAATGTTAATGAGCCAAAACCAGTTGGTTTTCCTGTAAGGTTTTTTAGGCATACTAAAACAAACCATCAAATAACTTTTCAGCTAAAATTATGTTGCAAACATGATCAGAGGACATCAAGGATTATGAAAAAATGATAAAAATGGGTATGAAATTTTGGTGGCAGGTCCCCTTTAATATTTCATGAGTCTGTGATGATTCTGCGTTCTGCCTGTCTGTTTGTGTGCACTTTTTTTGTTTACCATGTTTACCAGGACCATCACTTTGGCATTCGGTGTGGTCTCCAGGTGTTTTTTGGCCACATACACAGCCGCACGAGTCTTTCCACTTCCTGTTGGAAGGCAGATGATTATGTTCTCCCCCTGAAGAGCCCTTTGAACAACTTCTTCCTGATATCCACGAAGTCCAAAATCTGCCATTGTGCTCTTTACCCCTGTTTGACCACACTAAAGAAGACTGAAATTTTATAATCAAAAAAAGACAAAAGGGCATACTATCAAAATACTATCAATATTCTCATACACCAAAAAAATTCACTGACGCCGAAAGCTCAGGTTATATCTTATTCTGAGACTGCATGCCACATTGTTTTGAAGATATCAAAGTTAGAAGAAGGATTCCTTACCTCACATTCAGCTGTGTACTCTGTTGTCTTTCCTCATCCACTTTAACCACACATCGCGAGTCCAGGGGTTTTATATTCTGTTTGAATTAGCTGTGTGACTCACAAACCCGGAAACGAAAGGAAAAGCTACCTGAACTCACAAAGTTGCCCAACTGAAGGAGGCTCTGGAGGAACAGCAGATAGTGTAATTATGCAATGACTGTGGCTTACAACTGAAGCATTTTTTTATGGGCTTGAAAAGGGCAGGCCTCTGCAAAGTGTGGAGAGTACACCCTTACTGGGCCCTGCCGGTCCCTTTTCAGAGAAGCGAAACATACTGCCTGAGACTCCACACATACAGAAAAATCTGTTCCTGTTTTAACACGACTGATGTGCCATAAAATACACCCTCTCTTTGAGAGATCTAATTTCAAGATCTGAGTGTTGCTTGAATATGTCCCTCATAACTATAGCATCAGGTGGTTTTAATTTAAGTTTCATTTGGCCTTGATGAATGTAGTATGTCAAAAGAATGACAAATTGTTTTTGCCTGAGACTTTCTTTCCTCAATAAAACACACTAAAATTTCCATTTATCAGTAAACAAGTGAGACAGCAAAATGTATACAGATTTTTTGTATTTTTATTTTTTTAAATAACCAGAAGTCCCAAAAGAGGGCTTAAAGCAAGGAAAATTTGTGTGCCTGAAATGTAGAGCAGGAAAATTTTTTGAAAGTTTTTGACGGGTCAGGAGGAAGAACAGAGGGATTTATTAAAAAGAAGTGAATGTATAACAAAGGAACATTTATAATTTTAACTGATAGTAGTGCAAATGAACATATGTTCTGTTTTTTTGATTTGAGTGTATTTTCTTTGTGTTTTCCCTCGTGTTTCTGTTCCCTGTTGTTCCTGTTACCCTGTAGTCCTGTCTTGTGAGTTTTCAGTTTGTGTCCGACCCCCAGTTTCCTCATGTTCTCTGTGTTTTACTCTTACATAATGACATCTTCCACATTTTGTTTCAATATCTTTCATCAAATTTTGTTCCAACCTGAAAAACAGGACTAAAGTTATGCACAGAGGGGTACAATCACAATTAGCCTCCTTTCATTTCCCATCTCTTCATTTAACATCTTAAGGTGAAAAAAATAAAATAAATAATTATGGACATACAGATATATATGTCTATGTCCACAAGAGGGCAGTATTATCAAGCGCTTACAGTCCACTCACCAGAAACAGACAGAGGACATGTTGGCAAATTACATATCTAAAGTTATTGATGTAAAGTTTTTTAAATAATCCTGTCAGTCAGAGAGGCAGTTTTGACTAAAGCATTTGTTGGTTTGCACCTTCTTCTAAACATCATGAAAACACAGAGAAGCAGCTTCTGTATTGTGATCAGTAAGCAGAGTCACATGTAGATTGTTGTAATGGTTACAATTTTGCACCAAGGATTTCAGATACTAGGAAGAAGTTTATTTTTTATTTTATTTTTTACAAAATAGCGGCTGTTCTTATCCAGCATCAACATAATCTTGCTAGAATACACAAGGATGATATGTGAACAGAGGCGAATAATTTCAAAGCAGCACTGCATTGTATCTGCTTTCAAATTACTCCATTCATCAGATTCATAAGCTTTTCTCTCTGGCATAACTCAGGTATTTTCTCTGCAACCACCATGTGGATAATCATAGATAATAATGATCTGATGTGAAACGAATTCAATTTGATATGAGAGCAAATTTCTCATGTCGTAGAGACAGATGCTCAGGTTTTTCCACGCTGCACGTTCACAGAGAAAACAATGAAATGAGATGTGAAACTATCATTAATAAGAAGCTATTTGTGGAGTTTTTTTGGTTTGCCCCCCAACTGGAAACTAATCAGTCAGGAATTCAATGCATTTTGATAGAGGTTGGCATGACAACACTTTTAAAAATGAGGATAAACTGATTAAAGATCAGTTTGTAAGCGTACTGAATGTTAAACCTTCCAGAGGAGGATTATAGGAGATCATGAGAACACCCACATGGTGCCATAAAGGTAAGTGGTTACTAATGTAACACAGCTTCATCCAGTGGCGGTTCTAGACCAAATTACTCCCCGGGCGAGCACCCCTCCAAGTGCCTGCCCCCCCCCCCCCCCCCAACACACAAACACAAAAAGAGAGTTTTGTATTATTATGTAGTATTTTTATGATTATAACAACAAAAATAATTTCTCAATTGCAGAAATCCTTCAATAGAAAAAAACACAATCCTGAGGGCCATTTTGAGAAGGGCCCCCAGATCCTGAGCTTTTCTGACGTGTTAAGGTTTACAAAAAAGCTGCTATCTCGGCCTCTGTAGTAGATAGAAACAAAATTTGCCAATTTGACAACAAGAGTTGATACAAAACCGCTTTGCGGTTAAGATTTATTATCATTATCTTTTATTTTGTTTTCTAGAAGTGCTCGTGCCGCCCCCCATGAGTCATAACACAAATGCCACCCCGGGCGGCTGCCCTGTTCGCCCGTGCCTCGAACCGCTACTGGCTTCATCTAACTTTCTCTAGGATGAGAAAATCCACCCTCTGTCTGATGTTCACAGGCTGAAACTCTGATGACTGAGCAGCGACACAGGCTGGTGTTTTATGAAACTGCAAGTGACCCTCCAGAGATCAGTGAAGCTTTCTAAGTGTTGATGAGGAAATCTGAACAGAGATTTGTTTAAAAAAAAAAAAATCATACTCTGCCAAAATTGTTTTCTGGAAATACAGTTGTATTCAAAAGTGTGTGCACCCCCTTCAAAACAGCATATTTTATATAAATTTTACATTTGTAGTTTTAGTCTCTCTCTGGTATGTAAAAAAAACTGACAGACTGTAGGTATTTGCTTATAATGGTTAATGAATGCGCAACAAGAAAGTCACTTGTGCACAACAATGTAACGTTGCAATTTTTAACTGAGTGTTGTACATACAGTTGCCAACAGAACAACAGAACAGCTCGTCTCAGGTCTTCTGTTTGTTTCCGAAACATCTGAGGAAAATGACTTCTATGCATTTGAGTGATACCTCTACTTCCAACCCCCAGAAATCTTTCATGATTATCCAAAATAAAATCCATGCAGATTTACAAGCATTACAAGAAAAAAGAAACTTAAACAATCAAACACCTTACATTGAAATGCTGAGTAATGTCGCTTGCAGTGGGAGAGCAGAAGGAAGCAGCAGTGGCAACAACAAAGCAGAGACTAGAAATTTCAGCTTTAATGTCGTATGTCATGTTATTGTGAATCATACGTGAGTGTGAAATCAGTGCAGCTTGATTTGCCCGCCTGAACTTACAGACACTGATCAGTTTATGGTTCAAAACAAGTCCGTCTTGAGGCTCAGAGTAGCCCCTTGCAGTCTTATCTGTCAGGTTTTCAGTGTCAGTGTCGTTATGTCACATTTTAGTAAGGGCCCTTATCTCCTTCCTTGGTTTGGAGGTCCATAAATCATAAACCAGAGGACTGCAGTTAAATGTGGCAAACAAAGTTTTAACAGGTAGCAGGGACATTTTTGCCTTACTTTCTTTTCTATCTGCTATATCCCCCTATCATTTTAGATAACATCCTCCATTATTCAGCTGGAGCAAGCAGCCCAGGTGGACACTGCAGAGCGCTCTGTTTAGCTCGATAAAGCTGTGTGTGATTCAGCTGCAGCTATTAAGAGTTTGCAACAGCGAGTAAAAGTTTCGGGGACTTTATGGAGCTGCAGAGGAAAGCGAAGACATTTTACCCTCACCTTTAATTTTTCACACAGTTAAACATCACACACACTTCTTTCTGTCACATAAAAATACGACTTCTCAACAGTGCTGCACTTTAGGATGATTTATACTGCAGTAACCAAAGATATGTAGGCTATACTCACAATAAAGGCTTGACATTTAAATCGTAACTATTTTTAACCTAGATTTGAGAAACATGTATCTCATGAGAACAGATTTCCAGCTAACAGTGAGATACGTTTTAATGCTATATCCCCTTTACTCTTTACTGCATGTTTGAATCGGACCATCAATGATGGATTTACACCATGAACATGCTGGTTATAAAACCTGTTATCCAATAGTAAGTAAGGCACGCAGTAACTCACATGGGCACAGAGACATGCACCAGTATCCCCAGGCTCTATTTGAGAGATTGTCTTTATTCCTCCAGCAGCCATGTTCTTGTGACATGATGCACAGGCTTGAAAACTCATTAAGTGTCATCATGAATTGGCTTGATGTACCTTATTCATTGATTTTAGGCACATCATTAAATGATGAATTAAAACGTACATGTTTATTCTCAATCCTTTTGGACATATTTGTATACATCCATACAAAGTTTTTTTTAGGTATTTATCTGTCTTAAAGTCTGACATTGGGTCAGTGTGTTTAAGGTGAACAGTTACTATAAAGACTTCATATCTGCATCAATGAAATAATGAATAATGTGCTGCAGCAGTCAGTCCACTGGGTGGCAGCAAAGATACAGCTAAGTTCTCAAAACTGGGGCCAAGGACCAACCAGAGGATTTTTAATCGATTGATGGCTGCAGGCCTTTCTAAAGTTGTTCCAGTTTGAACACAGTCGAGTGAGTAGAAAGCAGATTGTGAAATTTTCATGTTGTCACCTTGGTGTCTATTTGCAGAGAGGTGGATGTCTTACAGGTTTTTGGCCTTCAGTGTCTCTCCAGAGTAAGTCAGACTTTTGGGCACAGAGGTAACAGATAGAATATAAAACACAAAAGAAGAGGCTCAGGTATTCTGCAGAAGACTGTGGGTTAGAGTAGACATTCAGTACTGAGGAATAATAAATACTTTTCAGGCTATTTGACTGGCTTCTGAATATACTGAATAACACCTTGTTTGTTTGATGATGCCATCGGCAGTTGGTATTGATGTTAGTGAATAGTTCCATCTTCATTGTCTTTCTTTTGCTAAAATTGAAGTGTCATCAAATCAGCACAGATGGTATTTGAGCAGATTGAGAGAATCTTCTGGATTGTGCAGATGTGTGAGAAAATCTTGTCTCTGAAAAAGAGCGTCAATATAGGGCTTTGTTTTGAGTGGGGCTGTGTAAGGTACTTGTAAGATACCTGTCCATAGTCAGATCTGCCCC